CGGTCAAAGTGTGCCAGCAGCAGCTCCACAGCCTGGTTCTGCTGGGCCATGCCTGCTGCCAGGCTGCCCGGCTCCCGTTCCGGCCGCAGCAGTGTTGGTCCAAACACGATGCCGATGTTCTGGCGTGTCATGCGGTTGACATCTACCCGTTCCATCACCCTGGGGATGTGCAGGGTTGGGGGGTGGTCCCATGCACCCCATCCAGCCCCGGTCCTGCCTCCATCACCCCAGGGGGTCTATGTGCCACAGCTCCATCACTGGCAGGCGCTAATCCGCCCCCCTCCCCGCCTTGGCATACGGGAGGGGGGCATGGTGGGGGGGGGGCAGCCTCTGCCCCAGCTCAGCTACCTGCTTCACCTGCTCCTGGGGGTCCGGCAGCTCTGGGGGTAGCCACAGTGGTCAGCCATGGTGCAGTCATCCCCCACGCCCCCCCAGCACCCATAGCCTGGGGATGCCCACGGGGAGTGCTGCAGGGAGGCACTTACTGACAGCTTCAATGAAGGCGTCAAAGAGCCCGTAGGGCACTAAGGGCTCAGGCAGCTCCCGGAAAAAGAGCTTGAGGGCACCGGTCACCACGTGGACATCGCTCCACTCAGGGTCTGCCAGGCTGAGACGCTCCTCTGGGAGGTATGGGGAGAGGTCAGCTCGCGCCTGGGGCCCCTAAGGCCCCCAGCACTGCCAGGGTCACCCCCCGCCTCGCCACACCGGCTGACCTTGGCACAGCTGCTCGGGGAAGACATAGCGCCCGTCCGAGGTCACAGCTCGCTCTGTGGGGGCAAAGGAGAGTTCATGGGGGTGAAGCTGCCTTCCCCCATCCCTGTGCACATGCTCCAACACAGTTCCCCTGTCCCCTTCCCAGCACCCCCTTCCTGTGTCCCCTGGTTCCCTCACCCCGGTCCACAGCAAAACGCAGCTTCTGGATCACAGAAAGGTTCCCATTGACCCGGTAGATTCCATCAACATCAAGGCCTGGGAACAATGAGGGGGGTGAGACATGGTGGAGGAAGTCTGTGCCAGCTGTGGGGAGCACGCCAGCTGGGAGAACCCTACCTCTCTCCTCGACAGCCTCCACACAGAGCCGGACAAAGCGGGGCACAGTGGTGCTCTCCCGCTGGCACAGGGCGTCCAGGCGGCACCCAAAAACCTGGTCTGGGAGAGGGCAGTGCTGGGACAAAATGGGATAGGGAGCACTGGGACTTGGCAGGGGACAAAGTGGGATGGAGGAGCACTGGGACTCAGTGGGGGGAAACTGGGATGGGGGAGCATTGGGACTCGGCAAGGCGCAAACTGGGATGGGGGGAGCACTGGGACTCAGCAGGGGGCAAACTGGGATGGGAGAGCACTAGGACTTGGTAGAAGGCAAATAGGACTGGGGAAGGGTACAAGGACCAGAAGTGAATGGTGGGGACTGGGAGGGCAGTGGTGAGGGCAGGGAGGGACACCTGGACTGGGAGAGGGCACTGGGACCAGGAAGGGATGCTGGACTGGAAAGAATCACTGCGACCAGTGGGTGCACAGGGACTGGGGGGTGGATTCTGGGACTCAGGGCATGGGGGAAGGGGGCGATGACACAACAGACGCTGTGATCAGGTGGGGGACACGGACCAGGAGGGCATGCTGGGACTTGGGAAGGACACTGGGATCAATGTCACAGGGACTCAGGGCAGGAACACTGGGTGAGGGGGGCAGCGGGACACACCAGGGACAGGCAGCCAAGCTCAATGGAGCACTCAGTCTCCCTCTTCCTCTCCCAACACTGGGGGCAGATGGAGTATATGGGAGGGTTTGGGAGGGCCCCAAGGGCATGGTGGGGCTTGGGGGGAGCCCCACCTCGAATAAGCCCCTTCTCCTGCAGGCTCTGGAGCGGGGGCCGCTTGATGATGAAGCGCCTCAGCTTGCTCTTCACCCGCTTCTTCTCCGAGGCATCAGGGGTGTGGGGGGCACCTGGGGGCACCGCAGGCCCAGGGTGTGATCACAGTCACACTCATGCCAGCCCTGAGGACTGCTCCCTCCCCCTTGGCCCTCCAACTCTACCTGAAGTCCTGGCCCCCTCAGTGACCCGCGGCACCTCGTCCTCGTCCCCGCTGAGGTCTACCAGGTCCCCAACGTTCTCCCGGCGCAGCCACCCCACGGGCATGTCCACTGGGTTCTCCAGGTCCTGGGGAGTGGTGGTGGCGAGTGGTGGACAATTAGGGATGATGATGGGGCTGGGGGCAGCCATGGGGTAACCTCTGCCCCCACTCCAGGCACTCACCAGCCGGCGGATGACCCCCCTGATGGCCCAGGCCCACTCCTGGATGGTGGCCTCTTGGTCTGACTGCAGCAGGAACTCATTACCCGTCACAGTGCGGAGCTGGTGCGGGGAGGCAGCAAGATGGAGGGGAGCGGGCAGGGACCCCCAGGGACCCCTACAGGGGCCAGGGGGGGCCCAAGCACTCCAGGGGTGCCCTTCTCCCCCCTCAATGGGGGGCTCCAAGGGGGCCCCTAACCCAAGGGGTGTTCCTATGCCACCCCCTCCACCACACCCCAGGGGAGTATACTAGTGGCACCACCTTGTCCCATTCTGGGGGTTCCTCTACTTCCTCTACTTGCTGGGCTGTGGTGTCCCCTTCTCCGTGGACTGCATTTAGGGGGATCCCTGTGACCCCTGGACTATTACGAAGAGCCCCACGTCCCCTGGGCTCTGAACTTCAGGCATCCCCACACCCTGAGCCTGGGGTCCCACCCCACTCACGTGGATGACATTCTTCTTGCTGGAGAGGTCATGGGCCCAATCCAGGGCAGCCCCCCGCAAGTCCACACTGCTCTCAGGGCGGGTGCTGGCAGGGCACTGGGGAGGCACCGGGTGTCACCCTGTCACCCTTTTGTCTCCACAGCACCCCGTATTCCTCCACAGCCCTCTCCTCCTGCTGTCCCCACTGTCCCCCCCATACCTCCCGATGCTCCAGCACTCTCCTGATGTCCCAGCACCCCCGTGCCCCCCACTCACCCAGGCAGTGGGTGCCGGCCCCTTGGTCTCCTTGTAGAAGATGAGGCTGTTCCCGGCCAGCACCACCCAGGAGACCCCCCAGCTTTTCCTGGGGGCAGCAGGTGAGGGGCACCCCCAGCCCCTCCCCAGCCAGGGCT